TTTCCCGAGGCACATCACGGGTATTGCATGTACCATATACAAGGTAATTTGAAGACTAGGTATCGGGGCACAGGCATCGTTTCATTGTTCAGGAGAGCAGCCGAAGCTTACAGTGCTGAAGAGTGTAATAAGTTCATGCTCGAGATAGGAAGTAAATCATTACCGGCGTTGGAGTATCTGACGAAGATGGGGATCGAACATTGGGCGCGGGCATACTTTCCAGGACGTCGGTACAACATGATGACGTCGAATAACGCGGAGTCTCTGAATGCATTGTTTAAGAAGGATCGAGAGTTGCCAATTCTCGCAATGATTGAGAACATTCGTAACAAGCTACAACAGTGGTTTCATGACCGACGTGCGGCATCAGAGAGTTGCACTAGTGTGTTGGCCCCAGCTCAAGAGGAGAAACTGTTTAAGGCGGCAGAAGTTGCGAGGAAGTTGAATGTAGAAGCACTAGATGAGTTTCGCTTCTCTGTGCAATGTGCACGTAATACGGCATATATGGTGGACTTGACTGATAACACTTGCACTTGTATGAGATTTCAGTTGGACGTCCAAGTACATCTAGAATACCATCTACCGGAGAGTTTCCTCGACCGCGTAGGTGTGGCCGGTGCAGAGCCGTAGGCCATACTCGACAATTTTGTACCAGTCAAATTCCCCTAAACGACGACTAGACAGGTATGTGAAATGAATAATATTTCCTTTTACTATATACTGTTCAATATTTGTTATTTATAAATCTTCAATATACAAAAAATAGTTCGGTGATTTCCTTTGAATGTTATATACATTGAACACAAATTTACAATTATTTCAAAATAACAAAAAATAATGAAATTTCCAATTTGAATGTTATATTACATTGAACATAAATTTACAATTATTTCATAATTACCAAAATAATGAAATTTCCAATTTGACTGTTATATACATTGAACACAAATTTACAATTATTTCAAAATAACAAAAAATAATGAAATTTCCAATTTGAATGTTATAT